TGCCGTCATACCACGCGAGAGGCCGAAATATTAACAACAGAACCATGTGTTTAGATGCAATGTAATGTGTTGTGACTAGTTTGGCAAAATGTACGTATATTTGAAATATATATATATATATATATATATATATATATATATATATATATATATGATTTTATCGACTTTCTTATTATGAAGGTTATTTTTACTGAGTATGTGTTTGAGTTGCCTGTTTTTAATCTTATTAAACGATGAAATCAATAAGAACCAACCTAGACGGAGGACAGGAATGTTAACTGTTATATTACAAGCCTAAGGAAAAGGAAATCGGTAATGGAAAAAGTGATAGCTATTTCTATGGAAAATGTTCAGATGAGATCCTTTCTTTAATTCCGCCAGTTCAGACCTTTACATTTCTGACAAGCCATGCTTCGAATCACCCCATTACTTCCGTATTCCATTTGTAAGGAAGAAGTACCAGTCAGACAGCTTCCGAGAGAACTACTAATTTGTGTAGTAATCTCCAGTATAAATGCTTCCCTGAACAATGCAATCTTAACCTCTTCATGTCAAGGATCAATCACTGTCTAGCTTCAGTTTTTACTCCCTTCTACTCCCTCTTGTGTTCATCTCAAACAAATTCTGTAAATATCTTGCTTAGTGGCTCTCGAGCCTTGTACTGGTTCAATATGTCCATGACTGTGTCAACAGTATAAGTTACACTCATTCAAATCTCGATGGTCGTTAATTCTTTTTTAGCCTTTTTTCGGAGATTATAAAACAATAATCGAGCATTGCAATTTAAAAAAAAAAATGGTGCCAAAAAGAAATAACGAATTATAACGGTCTACATACGCTTTCAGTTAAAGTACTGAAAGCCTGAAAATTGTATATGACTGCACGAGATAATAATGTTTCTTAAGGGCCTTAATCAGCTCCCGCGAGGTCGGTCATATCGTTACACATTCCACATCCCATAAAAGCATATTACTCGGTTACAATCGAATCAACTGCGTGTTTCAGCCGCGTTTCGTAATCAATGCGCATGCGTCATGTAATGCCTTCCGCCCTCCTCGTTTCCAGCACATCGCCATTTTGACACCACCCAACGTCAACCCCTTCCCTTTCAGTGGTTACAGTCGTTGTTATTGTGTGCTTATGATTTCGCAATCTTTTCATTCATAAATCCACGGTAGCCTGCTGGCTGTCCACAACATCGGCATTTTATGTGCTGCTGTCATTAATTTCAGGTTTATGCGAAGAGAGAGCCTGTAGTTTCTGCAGGGTGTACGACTGTAAAAATGGGTCTGATACGAGGAAGGCCAGTTTAATGACTCGATTATATAAATACCAGTTTACTAAGTGAGATCCGCGGCCTCTTCGTTGTTCGTACGATCAATGCTGCCAGCCCAAGTGTGAAGTACAAAATCTTCAAATATTTCAATAAGAAAATTGTCCTTTAGATTAAAGAGAACGTAACTCATTTCAGTTTAATAATTAGCAAGCCAGACTTTTACTACCGTAAAGAGCTCTATCCTCACCGAGTGCTCTAAAATTGTGTACTTTAGTCGAGTTTAGCATACCAATCAAGCAGACTATTACTACTTCTGTGAGTTTGACTTCTGAGAGGTACTCTACAGATGCTTTTTTTATATTTTATATGCCGTTTCGTTTTAGGACATAGACGATCATGGCTCTCCACAAGTTCCCCTCTGTAGTTCTTAGCAACGTTTCTTCCCTTACCAGACCTATCAATCCATGTTCTATTTAAACAAGCTCGTTATGTATATTACATTCTCTTTCCCTATGCCTCTCTGGCTTTCACTATGACCCTTGAGTATCAAATTCACTAAGCACTCTTTCCTCGTTATGCGTTCCAGAAATGTCAACCCTTTCTGATTTTAAATACAAGTTTGTTTGTTTTATTTTTTGTCCCCATTTTCCATTACTCGCATGTTCAGTCCAAGTTATGCTCAGCAACCTTCAGTAGAAGCACATCTTAATTGCTCCAAGTCTTGTCTTCATCTGCGAGGTAATTGTCCAGCATTTTCATTGAACAAGCAAAAGATACCTACCACGTCCTGGGTATGACGATAAACTACATCCGCGTCCATGGATATGACGGTAAACTGCATCCGCGTCCTGGGTACGGCGATAAACTACATCCATATACTGGGTATGGCGATAAACTACATCCAACGGAAAGGCCGTTTTTGAAAAAAAAATAAGGTTGTCGGTTATACGTTTTTGGGAAAATAGTATTATTTCTCTACGTTTTCGAAGAAATAATGTTGCCAGCAGAGCGTTTTTGAAAAACGATACTACCAGCTTTACGTTTTTGAAAAAAATAATATTATCAGCTATACATTTTTGGAAAAATCATATTACCAGCTATACGTTTTTGAAAAAAATAATATTATCAGCTATACGTTTTTGGAAAAATCATATTACCAGCTATACGTTTTTGAAAAAATAATAGTACCAGCTATACGTTTAAAAAAAAAAAAAAAAATATTACCAGCCATACATTCTTTAACAAAACCTTATTCAATGGAATTATAACTGGGGTCAAAACACTGTGAAAGTGTAAAAATGGGTTTTAATACCAGAAACACTTTGTAAAAAATTATTACCATCAATATATTTTTGAAAACCAAATGTTGCCAGCAATGCGCTTTTGAAAGAAAAAACCTAAACGAACCTTAAAACACAAAGTAATCCAATGAACCAAATAGGAAAACAATGGTCACAAATACACATAAGATACTTCAATGGAACTATAGAAGAATAAATAAAAAATTATTACCAGAAATAAACTTTTGAAGAAAAAGATATTACCCCAATACGTTTTTGAAAAGATATGCCAGCTATACGTTTTTGGAAAAATACTATAATCAGCTATACGTTTTTGGAAAAATACTATTACCAGCTATATATTTTTGAAGAAAGAAATATTGATAGAAATGGATTTCTAACAAAACAAAAATATTATTGGAAAGAAAAAAAAAAGTCGTCGGCATTAAATGACCCATTGAGGTTGATATGTCATAAAAAAAAAAAAAAAAACAAACAAACAAAAAGATACCCACCAAAAGCTAAACAACGTATTATTAAACGGGAAAAAATACGTTAGAGACACAAAGTAGAGTACTGAACTATTATGCAATACCTGTCTCCTATTAGTTAGTGTCATCATGGATGAAGACGAAACGGGGCAATAAACACATTGTTCTACTAAAGGGTCTCAGGAACAACATGCTTGGAGCGTGTGAAGTTTTAAATATAGAAAGAAAAAAAGAACGATTATATCTAGAATTAGAAAGCGACTGTTAAAATTTTGGGCCGGTCTTTTGAACAGGAGTAGAGGTTTATCGCCTTGCTTGGGGTGAATTGATTAAAAAAACACATAATGAGAAAAGACGGCTTGGAGAATTTAACACTTCTAGGACTGTCCTTAGTATTATGATAATTACATCCTGCAGCATTGCTTCTGATCGAGGATTTTGAGGAACCACTTCTTAACTCCTGTTGTTCCCAGGTTCACCCTGATCCGGGGGTAGTAGCACCTGTTAAGGTCCCAGCTCTGGCCAAATAGTGAACCCTCCAAACTGGGGTGAAAACTCTTTGAATGTATGAAAATATGTTTTTATAGTAAAAATACCAGCAATAGATTTTAATAGTAAAAAAAAAAATCAGCAATAATAAATTTTAATAGTAAATATATATTTTAATCAATTCACCCCAAGCAAGGTGATAATGCCACTAAGACGGAAAGGGCTAGTGAGAGTGAAAGGGAATTAAAAGACAAAGAATAAACCTCTCCTCTTGTTCAAAAAACGCGGAGGAGTATGAACCGGATGATAGGCGAATCTGTCTACTCCTGTTCAGGAAAAAAGTAAATAAAATTTCAACGTATCGGCGGAGACGTTAGAAGTGTGGATTTTAAGTAAACTTTAGAAGGAAACAGAAACCTAATCCTAAACAGGATACAAGGGATAAACCTCTGCTCCTCTTCAAAAGATTGGGATGTAGTGTGAACGAGACTGTCCTTCCTCATTATGCGTCCAAGAAATTAACATTTGTTGTTGCTCAACTTCCAACCAGCCTCGATGTGGCACCATCAGACTTCTGTTTGTTCCCCAAATTGAAAGGGGAATTAAAAATTTGACATTTATCGTCTGATGTCAAAGTTCAAATGCGTGACTGGATCTAAGGAAAACAAAGAAACATGATAATGTGATAAACATTTTAATTTTTTTTTTAATTTTAATTTTTAATTTTATTTTTATTTTTTTTAATTTTATTATTTTTATTTATTTATTTTTTATTAATTCAAACAAAGCAAGGTGATAATGCCACTACAACTCAAAGTTTGGTTTGATTGATTTGGTTACTGGCATATCATCTCTTTATGGATCATTTAAAGCCAACATTTGATTTTCTTGTGGACATTGGTAATTATTTTAAATGTAATTTTTTCTAATGTATTTTTATATTTTTATGTTTTGACCCCAGTTTGAATATTCGCTATTTGCCCATAGCTAGGACCCTAACAGGTGCTACCACCTTGGGTCAGAATGCAACTGGGAACAACAGCAATTAAGAAGTGGTTCCACGCTCTTCAAAACCTCTCGATCAGAGGTCTTGTTGCCGGGTGTAGTTTAGGGTCATACCCAGGACGGACTCAAGGGGCTTCTGGGAGCAAAAGAGAATGAGAAGACTTTGTAAGAAACCGGAAACACAATCCCAAACTGGAAACAAGGAATAAACCTCTACTCCTGTTCAAAAGACAGGGAAGAGGCGTGGATGCATAGGGCAGACTGGCATGATTGATAGTGATGGTGATGATGACGACGATGATGATTGATTGATGGTGATGGTGATGATGATGAAGACGATGATGATGCATGATTGATGGTGATGATGATGGTGATGATGATGGTGATGATGATGGTGATGGTGATGATGATGGCGATGATGATGATGGCGATGATAATGATGGTGATGATGATGGTGAGATGGTGATGATGATGAAGATGATGATGATGATGATAAAGATGATGATGATGATGATGGTGGTGATGATGATAATGATGGTGATGACGATGATGATAATGGTGATGATGATGATGTGATGATGATGATTGATGGTGATGATGATGGTGATGATGATGAAGATGATGGGGATGATGATGATGATAAAGATGGTGATGATGATGGTGATGATGATGGTGATGATGATGAAGATGATAGTGATGGTGATGACGATGATGGTGATGGTGATGATGATGATGGTGATGGTGATGATGATGAAGATGATGTGATGATGATAATGATAATGATGGTGATGATGATGATGGTGATGGTGATGATGATGATGATATAGTGTTACACTAGCTTTATAAATGTAGGCAGTAGTGCTGAAAGTTTTACGGGCAAATCAAATAATCTCTTCCATAAAAAAAAAAGAAATTATTCGATTATCTAGCGGACATCGGCTCGGGTTTCTTTTGAAGAGGGATGGGCCCTGCCAGATATACTTGCCGCTGATGACCCCGAAATGCGATTTGCAGATGGGGAACACTAGAATCAACCTGACGCGGAAGTTTAGATGCCTGGTAAGCGTCTTGACAGAGGACGGTCAGTGCGACAGTGAGATCCGTAGACGTATTGGTATGGCCAAGGACACATTCCAAAAGCTGAGCACAGTATTACGACACAGGCGGATTTCTTTGGTAACAAAGAAAAGAATTCTGAACTGTTACGTGACATCTGTCCTTCTTTACGGCAGCGAATGTTGGACGATTTCCTCAAAGATGACTCAAGGCGACAGATGTGTGGTTCTACAGAAGGATGATAAGGATATCATGGACCGAGCGTGTGAGCAACGATGAGATCTTAGAAGGGCTCTAAACAGGCTTATACTTAATATCAGGAAAAAGTAGCTGGAGTTCCTGGGACGCATAATGAGGAAGGAGCGCCTGGAGAATGTGATACTCTCGGGTCGAATAGAGGGAAAGAGAGACAAGGAAAAACAACGCGTGACATACATGGCGGACTTAAACAAATGGATGACAGAACGTGGTTTGGAGGACGACGCAGAGGGAAGGAACTTGTTGAGAGCTGCAAGGGATAGAGAGAGGTGGAGATCCATGATCACCTTGTCCTGAAAGGACATGGCGCATAAAAAGAAAAAAAAAACAGCTGCGTAGCGACACTATAGCGACACCCGGTCATGGGATTGATGATGATGATGATGATGATGATGATGATGATGATGATGATGATGATAAACGTACCACTAGCCCGCGGCAAAAAAAAAAAAAACGCGGCGGTGCTGAAAGCTTTTCGGTCCAGCCAAGAAAGTCCGCTGCCATTTCGCAAAAAGAATTATATTCGGTTATCTGGTCAGATTTTGGAAAGTTGGTTCAACTGAGAGCTTTTCAGCTTCCCTTTGGGTCGATGCAATTCGTTTCTAGATACGTGGAAGTATATTTTAGATTCGCCCTGGCTAAAATTATGGCGGATACGGTTCCTTTATAGATATTCGCGTTAATCCAATTTCCTTTTGTCGCTGTCAGGAAGAATGTCGGGCAAAGGGAAAAACCAGTTCTGAATCATGGCCGACCGTTTTCAACAACCGACTGTCTTAATCAATAGAAGTGATGTTTGATATAAGCCTATTTCCAAAAATATCAATCGCAGATACTATTGCGACGATTGATATTCGATTAGGAGAAGACAACACCAGAACTGATCTGGAAATAGATAAGTAAAGGTGAGAGAATATTGATTGTTAGCCGACCTATCCAATGCTTTTGATAGGAATATACAAATGAAAACTTCAAAATTGACGGCCCATTCCATTCCTCCATACCCTAGCATTCTTAGCAAAATTATTTCTGATTTAATCTCTGAAAATCAACAGCATTTATCAATGATGTAGACACACGTTTAAGCTTGACATGTGTAAATAAAAACGAAGTACAGACAACTCTTTAAAACGACAGGAGTCGATTTTATGTTATGGACAATACTTCCCCATTGTAAAACGTTAAAAAAATAATATTGTTCGATTCTGAAAATTTCCTGCGTCGAATAAAGTCCAATGAACGCTAATCAACAAACGTTCTTGCCCAAAAATGTCTTCCTTACATTTCACTAGTGGACCAGTCAATTTAAGAAGTGCCATATGCTGGACTCTGATGTTGTTTTCTTAGAAACGCAACATACAGATTACCCTCACATATGATTTGATTATAGAGGTGAACGCTTGTAAAAAACCAACAACACTATTCACAAAAAAACAAATATAGAAAACTGGTACACATTAAGTGCTACAAGGTCTCCAACTTCACGGAATTTGAATTCAGATCGACACTGGCCAAGCTGAACAGAAAATAAACAGTAAGACCAGATGAGATTGTAATGGAGATATTGTTCACTTTAAAAGATATAGAAATCGGCAAGATTAATAGAATAATACTTGAAATATATGACGGTAATGGCCTACAGAAAGGTTATTTTAGATGTGGCACAAAGCTGAAAGTAAGGGGCTCCTAGTGAGGATCGAACGCCCTTTTCAGTCGTAACTGATCTAGCCACACAAGCTTGTTAACCCTTACACCACGCCGTGGTAACTTGTGTTTATTTTCTAAGAGAAGCTTAGATGTGGCACAAGGCCGAAAGTATGGGGTACTTAGTGAGGATCGAACTCATTTTTCAATCGTAATTGATCTACCGAGACAAGCTTAGTATCCATTACACCACACCGAAGTGCCTTTGGCATACAGAAAGACCATAGTTGATTCATTTTCATAACGCTACCTAAGTAAGCAGGAGTAGATAAATACGAGACCCATCGAGCAAACAGCTTGATGAGCGATAAATTTAAGCTTATCATTCGACTTTAATAGAACATGTATCAGACAAGATCAATGCGGTTTTCTTAAAACAACGGAACAAAAAAATATATTTATTTACTCGTAAATGCCCTTGGAAAAGCTATGAATTCACCTCTTCTTTCCCCCCTATATGGATTAATTAGTAAGACTTCTATCATTAAATATTTATTTTGTAAAAAAAAAAAAAAGACATTTTTACGATCTAAAATATTTTCTGGCTTTAACTAAACTGAAAAGGGTTGATAAGCTGTAGAAAACGAATCAATCTGTCTTTCTTTTTGTGAGTCTTAATAATTAACCCGTAGCTTAGGGGAGAAAAGGTGAATTCGTGACTTTCCCATGGGTATTTGCGCAAAAGTGAAAATAAAGAACCTAACTGGAATTAGAACTCAGGTCTTCGATTAACAATTCTGAGCCATTATCCATTACACCACCCGCACATCCAAGCTTATAGGACATAGTAATCGCAATTGGTCACCAATTAAGGTACTGACCAGTTGCTTAATTTCGGTGCTCGTCAGGGAAGTGGTATTTGAACGTAATGTGACCATAAGTCTTATTTTTCTCTGCAGCACTATATACGAGACAATATCTTCATACATTGATGTTACAGAGATCTGGTTCTTTCTTTCTTTCTGTCTTTCTTTCTTTATTTTGTGGTTTACTCTTTCTTTTTGTGGGCCACTCTTTCTTTCTTTCTTTCTTTCATTCTTTCTTTCTTTCTTTCTTTCTTTCTTGTGAGCCTATGGGCTAATGAGTAAGTCTTGTATCACTAAATAATTATTATGCCCGCTCAAAAAAAAAAAAAAAAAAAAAAATATTATTTACAATCGAAAATATATTTTCTGGCTTTAAATAACCTGAAATAGGTTGATAAACCGTACAAAACGAATCAATCAATCAGTGCTATAATGGCATAGGGAACAGCGGCTAATTCACCTAACAATTTGCTATGGTTGCTAAGATCTACAAGAGAAGGAAGTTGTGTAGTGCCATGATCGCCTAGGTCCTGAAGGTATACGACTCAAGAAACAATATGCATTCCATCGTAATTTCATTTAGTGTTCATTTAATAATGTTAGCGCTATTAATAATATCTTGGATTTTTATTACTAGACGAAGCAGTGTCATTCATTATTGTTTTACTAGGATGTCTTTAATTCTATTTGCCTTTTTGTCTCAACTACAGCGAACGGCTTTCTCTTACTGCTTATTGTCAAACTTCGACAGGAAAGCCAGATAGGATTAACCTAATTAAGTGGAAATATTTTCATTTCGTGAAAACTGATTTCTCGAAGCAAACGCCGGTTTCAGCTCACGGGTAACGTGATCAAGCGTCTGTGATGCGAGATTTGAGCTGGGCATTATCCGCCACTGGGACATGATTGGTGCTTTTGAGCGCACGCGTGTGTGTGAGGCTTATGACAAAGCGAAGAAAGGGATAAGCGTTGGTGTCGATTGTCGACTAATCCGAAATTCTTCAAACAACTAATACCCTGAAAGAAGACGGTCATGGTGATCGCAGGCTTACGAAAGAGTTCGCGCTTCCCAGATTGGGCTTTCCAGTTGAAACACCCTGCTTGGAATTTACAAGTCCTTTGGAACGATATGTAGGGTTTTGTTGGTGCTGTTGTTATTGTTTTGGTCGCCATTTGGTTTCGTTGTTGGTCGTACTGCAGCGGAGAATATGAAGCTTGAGAAATAAAAGAAATCCCATCGAGTCGCGTTGAAAAGTTTGTTTCCAACGCTAGAAGATCGATCAATTGAACTATCTGGATCAGATTAATCGATTTGAGAAGAAATAAGCTGAATCAAGCCCGGGAAAAATGTTAGCGACGTGGATAATAAAATCATCGCCATAGTGTCCATTTATATTTACATTAACTTTCTTCTTCTTCTTCTTCTTCTTCTTCTTCTTCTTCTCTATTCCTTTTTCTTTTTTTCTCTTCTACTTCTTATCTTCTTTATAAGCCGATTCATTCTTTTCCCCTTCTCCTTTTTATGCCTAATGATTTTCTTCTTCTTCTTCTTCTTCTTCTTCTTCTTCTTCTTCTTCTTCTGCTGCTGCTGCTGCTGCTTATTCATTCTTTTTCCTCTTTTACTTCTCCATTTTACCTTTCTTCTTCTTCTTCTTCTTCTTTTTATGCCTATTCATTCTTTTTAGTCTTTTTCTTCGTCTTCTTTTTCATCTTCTTTTTCTTCTTTTATTTTCTTTTTATGTCTGTTTCTTTTTCCTCTTTTCATTCTTCTTCTTTTTCCTCTTTTTTCTTCTTATCTTCCTTATATACCAATTCATTCTTTTTCCCCTTTCTCTTGTTCTTTTTAGTCATTTTCTTCTTCTTCTTCTTCTTCTTCTTCTTCTTCTTACTTTTCCTCTTTTCTTCTTCATTTTCCCCTTCTTTTTATTCTTTTTTCCCTCCTTTTTAGGTCTATTCATTCTCTCTCTCTTTCTCTCTCAAAGTACCTATTGTCTCT